GGGGGAGCAGCAGGCGCTGGACCGGCATGAAGCAGCATGCTCTGCACCAGGGTCTGCAGATGGGTACAGATGGCATGACCCTGGGCAAGCAGCTCCCTCTGGAACCCTAGGGGTATGTCTACACTACCTAGGTAGTTCGGACTAGGCTTTGGACTAGGCTTCAGACTAGGTAGTTTGGACTAGGTTTCATGAGGAGTAACGGTAGTTCGGACTAGGAAGCCTAGTCCGAACTACCTAGTCCGTGCCACGTGTAGCCGCGCGGCATGGAGTCCGCACTAGCGGACATTTAAAAATGGTGGCGCCCGGCTTTATGCAAATGAAGCCCGGGAAATTCAAATCCCGGGCTTCATTTGCAACTCCGGTTGCCTACATTACCATCCTAGTTCGAACTAGGGTGGTAGTGTAGACATACCCTTAGAGATGAATTTATTGAAGGGGAAACTATAGCATTGTAAGGATGATAGGAAAGAAGTTGGTAAAGTGGATGTAAGAATTAGCAAGGGACAATCAAATGTAAGAGTCCCATTGAAATAAAACATATGATGGCAAGCAACTGAATATTGAGAAAACGTATAAGTGATTGTATATAAATCCTAGAAGTCTAAATACTGAGATGGATGAACCAGAGTGCCTGGCATTAAATGAGGATACGGATATAATAGGCAACATGGAAACTTGGTTGAGTGGGAATAATCAATGAGAAACCATTATATGAGGGTACAAAATACACAGGAGTGACTGAGTAAGTCATATTGGTGGGGGAGTGGCACAATATATGGAAAAAAGCATAATTATGGATTTATGTGGATTAAAAAACTTAAATTACTTAAATTGTGCCATAAATCTCTGTGGATAGAAAAGTTTGTGCTTGAACAATAAGAGCATAACAATAGGATATACTGCTGTCTAACTGACCAAGGTGGTGAATAGCAACTGTGAAATGCTGAGGAAGATAAAAAAAAAAAAAAAGCTATAGAAACAAAAAGCTCAATAATGGGGAATTTCAGCTATCCTTATATAGCCAGCCAATATGTCAATTAAGGACAGGATGCAGAGACTATTTCTAGACATTATATATTACTACTTCTTTGAGTAGCTTATCCTAGAATCTGCAAGGAGAGAAGCAATTCTTGATTTAGTCCGAAGTAGAGCACATGGTCTGATCCAAAAGATTGACATGGCTGAAGCACTGAGTATTTGCAATCAGAATGTAATTAAATTTAACGTCCTGGTGGGGAAAAATACTAAAACTCCCAACACATGAACATTTAACTTTACAAAAGAGGAACTACAGGCAGTCCCCGAGTTACGCGGATCCGACTTATGTCGGATCCGTAGTTACGAACGGGGATTTCTCGCCCCGGAGAACTAGAGCAGCGGGACGCCTGGTCCCGCCGCCCGCCTTCTCCAGGGCGAGAAAAGCTGCTCCCCATCTCCCTGGTCTGCTGGCGGAGCCAGCAGACCAGGGAGACGTGGAGCAAAGCTGCGGAGGACCTGGGCCGAACCGTGGTGCTTCCAGATCAGCGCCGCAGTCCGGCCCGGGTCCTCCGCGGCTTTGCTCAGCGTCTCCCTGGTCTGCAGACCAGGGAGACGCTGAACAGAGCGGCGGAGCACCCGGCAGGACCCGCGCTGCTTCCAGCTGATCTGGAAGCCGCGGGTCCGCCCGGGTCCTCCGCGGCTTTGCTCAGCGTCTCCCTGGTCTGCAGACCAGGGAGACGCTGAACAGAGCGGCGGAGCACCCGGCAGGACCCGCGCTGCTTCCAGCTGATCTGGAAGCCGCGGGTCCGCCCGGGTCCTCCGCGGCTTTGCTCAGCGTCTCCCTGGTCTGCAGACCAGGGAGACGCTGAACAGAGCGGCGGAGCACCCGGCAGGACCCGCGCTGCTTCCAGCTGATCTGGAAGCCGCGGGTCCGCCCGGGTCCTCCGCGGCTTTGCTCAGCGTCTCCCTGGTCTGCAGACCAGGGAGACGCTGAACAGAGCGGCGGAGCACCCGGCAGGACCCGCGCTGCTTCCAGCTGATCTGGAAGCCGCGGGTCCGCCCGGGTCCTCCGCGGCTTTGCTCAGCGTCTCCCTGGTCTGCAGACCAGGGAGACGCTGAACAGAGCGGCGGAGCACCCGGCAGGACCCGCGCTGCTTCCAGCTGATCTGGAAGCCGCGGGTCCGCCCGGGTCCTCCGCGGCTTTGCTCAGCGTCTCCCTGGTCTGCAGACCAGGGAGACGCTGAACAGAGCGGCGGAGCACCCGGCAGGACCCGCGCTGCTTCCAGCTGATCTGGAAGCGGCCGCGGGTCCGGCTCCCGGTGCTCCACCGCTTTGCTCCCGTCTCCCTGGTCTGCTGGGGGGGGACGCAGCTAGTGCCCCCCCAGCAGACCAGGGAGACGTGGAGCAAAGCCGGGGGCCTGTGGTAGAGCAGGTGGGGCACTGCCGGTTGGTCCCGCAGCACCGCTTCTTGGCGCTACTGGACCACCCCGGCAGCCCCCCAGCTGCTCTGCCCCAGGCGTCCTGATTCAGCTGCTGATCAGTTTCAGCAGCAGCTGACTTGGGGACGCCTGGTGTTCTTACCTTGAATCTGTATGTAAGTGGAACTGGTGTCCAGATTCAGCGGCTGGTGAAACTGATCAGTTTCAGCAGCGGCTGATGCCAGTTCCAATTTACATACAGATTCAACTTAAGAACAAACCTACAGTCCCTATCTTGTACATAACTCGGGGACTGCCTGTACACACAAATGAGAAGACTAGTTACACCGATTTGCCCTTTAATAGCCCGATCTTGTTGTCAGACAAGACAGTTGACGCTTTGCACTACTTCAAGGATCCAGAGATTATTTTAAACATGTTCCTACTGGGGAAATCTACAAGGCTGCTACTTGGAAGTCCATATGTTTACTAAACATTATGTTTTGGATTTGGCTTCAAGAGACGATGCTAGATTTGGTAGAGCTGTGTTTGTCATTTAATTCGGGCTCTGTTCCTGCCTCTTGAATTTGCAGCATAACTTGCCAAACTAGTCATCAGTAGGAATGTTCAGAGCCACTTACAGGAGAAGTTAAGGTTGCTTTCTAATAACCAGAGTTCTTCAAGATGACTCTGCATATATTCACACCTAATTTCTCTGGGTCAGCAACAGAAGGAACTAAGGCAGTAAAGGGCCAGTGCCCCTTTTTAGGGCCTTGCTCTCCGAACATTCAAAGGTTAGGAGAGGGTGCGTGTGTGCTCTCTTGGAGAATTTTTTTTGTTAAGCTGCATTGGTTGGAGCATTATCCGTTAATGGAGATATGCAGAATCATCTCCCAGACCCCTAGACTTCAAGCTTAGAAGGGATCATCGTAATAGTTTAGTCTGACCTGCACATTGCAGGCCATAAAATCCCACATACCTATTGTTGTAATAGACCTCTAACCTCTGGATGTGTGATTGAATTCCTCAAATCATGGTTTAAAGATTTAAAGGTACAGAGGATCTACCATTTACTCAGGTTCACTGATAGGCAACCTGCAGCCCACTGGGGCTCACCCTGTAGACCCCTCTGTCTGGCCCCTTCTTCTCCCTCCCCCCCAAGCCTCTCACACTGGAACTGCACACTTTCTTCTACTCCACCTTTCTTCCACCACTCTTGGAGTGCACAAATCACCTGATTTGTGCTCCATCTCTGCTTCTTTCCCCCTCTCTGAGAACTTGAACAGTCACAAACAGCTGATTTGCTACATTCCAGCTCTGGGAGGGATGGGAGGAGTAGGAAGTGTGGGGCTCCAGTGCCCAAGTGTGGGAGAGGCTTGTGGGAAGGTGGGGCACGGGGTTGTGGGCTGCAAGTGGAACTCCAGTAAGCTCCGGGCTGCTGTGGCCCACGGAGATGAAGGAGGGCTACTCATGCAGCCCACTCTCTGTTTTGGTTGCCCATCGCTGCTCTGGTTCTAACCAGGGATGTAAGTGAGTAGTTGACTACCTGATAATTCCTTTTGTGGTTAGATACCTGTCTTTTGTTTATACTGAGGAGGTATTGAGTTTCCTTCATAGGTCCTGCTTTAAACTCATTAGAAAAAGAAGCGAGGGAGTTTTTTGCTTAATTCAAATGTCCTGTGATGTAATTCCAACATATACAGCATTATAGAAGATACAATTTGAGGAAAAACATAAAGGATCTTAACATTCTAAATTCTATATCCAAATGTAAGGAGCACTGAAAACAAGCAAGAACTAAAATGATAGAGATTATTATCTGGAGGTGTAATCAGAAATCGGTAGAGGCAGCCACAAAACTGGCATGAAAAGTACAGGCGGTTTTGTATTTATAAAATACGTTGCATGTGAAATCATATAAAATTATAATACATTATGAGAGAGGGGTATGTGTGGAGGGGTATGCTAGAGAGTTTGATGAAGAAATACTTTTGGTAAGGACTCCCGAAAAGAAAAAGTGGAAGAAACTACCAAAAAAATTCTTATTCACCTTCTCTCATACTTGAAACCACAGAATATGATACTTCTGGGGAATTCTGGTTAGCCAGAATGAGAGAGAAATGCATCTTAAACATGCATTGATAATTAAGTGCTGACTTTTTGTCTTGTACAAGATGCAACTAGCAACTGGCTCATAAGGGCCTGAGGGTAAGCTTCATGCAGGATGAGAAGGAAGCAAAACTTTGTAAATATTATTAGACTCTGACACTATGGCAAACACCAGCTTCATGTGTGTTTTTCAGTGGCTAGCTGCTTACAAGTGTTCTGACTCAGATAATTTAATTCCACTTTGGATTTTTCCAGGAGCATTCTTGGACCTGAAAGAGTTTGTACACAGATGTAGCAGAAGAGTCAAGTAAAGCTTGACACACATTCAGTGGTGTATGTAATTACCTATATAAAAATTCAAAATTTCAGTGGCTTAAAGTAACATTCGTAGAACATCCAGAATGCAGACATATGGCTTAAATGAGCTAATAGAACTCCAGTTAGTTGGTACTTTGTTCCTATTTAAAAACATTGTATTTTTCCCTTTTTCTTTAGGAAAGTATTTCAACACTGGATCTGCTTTCTGACACCAGTTCAAGTTTATTTTCACAACCTACTTCTGCTGATGTGGGAGTTCCACTTCCTGCCAAGAATCTTATGTTCAAAGAAGGCATGTTATCTGAATGGAATGGACGATCACCTTCCCCAGTTCTTATTGCAAACATACCTAAAGATCAAATCAAATAGTTTGGGGTCACCAAGCCTTGCTCACTTAATGCCTTTTTTCTTTGTCTATTACAATTAATTTATAGTACCGACCATGAAGAAGTGTTTTAGTGCTGCAGGATAACCCATATGGAAGTAGTGTTTTAAATTGTGTTGTGTTGCACTTTGGGAAAATACACTGTGTACAGCTAGTTTATTCATTGGTACATTTCCTGCTGCAACAGAAAACTCTTCAGCTATCAGCGCTATATTTCTATCTTGAGACAATCTCTCTCTTTTATAATTCTAAATACACCCTTTTTAGTTTTTCTGATGATTGTTAAATTTCTATGCTGTCACCACAAAATTGCGATAGTAATTTTATATGTTCATTGCTGTGTCATAAACCCTGTTTAGTTTTGTGTTTTATTACTGAATTCTGCTTATAGGTAAGAGGTTTGACTCTGGAAAAGTTCAGTAGTGCTCAAATAATAAAAATCCAGTATCATGTTGATATTATGGAGCATTACGAATTGTTGCTGATATCTGCATATTATGTAGATGAGCCTGATGATAATGAAGGTTTGGTAAATCAACATAACAGTAATTAATTGATACTGTTTGTGAGGTCTTAAGTTTTGAAGATATAAAATTCTACTGATGCCTCTAAGAAATCTTGGAAAAAGATTGAGTCATTTTCATACTTGGTTTAACTTCATGGAGAGCAATGGAATTACACCAGTAATTAATTTGGTTCCCTCTGTTCATAGAAAGCTGTTCACTTATATAATACTGTATTTCTTTTCTCTCTCGTTTTATTGAAGCGCTTACATGAAAGTAGGATCTTTGCACCTTAAGCATGTTTTCTTCTGTCATATGCCATGTTGGACCCAGGATATTAGAGAGAAAAAGTAGGTGAGATAATACGTTTTATTGGAGCAATTTCTGTTGCTAAGAAAGAAATGCTTTTGAACTTACACTGAACAGACCTGAAGAAGAGCACTGTGGAGGCTTGAAAGCTTGTGTGTTTCATGAACCAGAGTTGCTCCAATAAAAGATATTACTTACTCACCTTGTCTTTGCTTCTGTAACTTTATACTCACCTACAGCTGTTCATTTATGTTTGTAACATCACTGTAGAAAAGTGATGTCACAAACCAAAGATTTTAATGGGAAAATAAACAATTGGAGAAGACTTAATATTAAAAGAACAAAGCTTTTGGTTTTTATGTGGGTGTTCACAATAAAGAAAAAATGCAGAAAAAAGTGCAGAAAATCTATAGGCAGGTATATCTCTTAAAATAATTCTTTGTTTTCCTTAAGCCATCAATTATGACAAATATTGACTTAATCATATCTAGGGTTAGAAGGCTTCTTTCCAAGAGGTAGTAAGAATTTGTGCAGTGTTGCTTCATTTTAATCTAAATCTTACAAGGTGGTTTCCTGTCAGTTCAAATGCCTTGTATCCAGTTAAGATCACTGGGAAAATAACAAGTATATAGAATATTTTGCAGGTTAGTGTCTAAAAACTTCTTATGACTTTTTGTTTACTGGAATTCAGTCATATAATCTTTAAAATTGAACTATGCTGTCAGCACCTGCCTGCAATTTTAGCAGTTATTGGACCAAGACCATGTGCAACATGCAGTGCTGGAAACTGTACATGGTAAATGTTGTAATGTTCAGTTTTTGTATTTGTTATATAAAAGGGTAAGAAGAAAATATTTGATATATGTTTTAAAAGGAAAAAATGCACACTAATGTGATAGAACAGAGATTTTAATTGGAATGGAATCTTCAGTTATTTCCTTATTTGATTAACATTCCTCTTAGGTGTAAATGTGGAGCTTTCTTTCCAGCTGAAAAAAATGGAAGTTGTAAGTACTTTAGCATGATCAATGCAGCACTCATCTCATATTTGTCTCTTTCCCGTTTACATTTTACCAATAACAGTTGAACTTGCTTATTCTGCACATATTACTTCATGTGTTGATTAGTGTGTACACTACAATAAAAAAGGTTGATTTTTTTTTATTGGCCATGTACAAATTGTCCATATTTTTCAGTTGATGGAGATTATCTTACTACTTTCAAAGGAAATTAAAAAGAAAAAAATAAGAATGCTATATGTTCTTTATAGATATTAATGTAAGGATTGGGGGGAAATAACATAGAAAGAAGACTGATCTGTCTGAAAATTAATATCCTACATGAATAGCATTCAATCTACAGGCTACCAGAAGTGGAGGAACTATACTGAAGGTGATGCTTTACATTTTCAGTATTGTAGTTATTTAAAATAGTGCAGTGAGCTTTTGTAGGTTAGTTAGCAACCTACAACTGTCACCTGTATATTATATATATACAGATATGTAAATTATGTTAGTTCATGTAAAAGTCTGTCTGCAATCTCAAAATTAATGGAAGAATTTTTTTAAATTTTGTTTTTATTCTCCACTATTATTGTTTTTAATACTTATGCTTGGTTGCATGAAGCTAGGCTTCTAAATAAAAGTAATTTGATTTTCAAAATTGCTGAATACTTATAAATGTGACTGTTAATAATAATGAGCTGCAGGTATTTGTCAGCTTTTCAGAATTGAGCCACTCTTATTTAGGTGTTTTAAGATGGATTTAGAAGTGTAACTGTAGCCACAAAGGCATGGAAATTTTACTGAATAGGTGAATACCAAAGAAAGACCTTAAAATAGCATAAATTCAACTGCTTAGTACTAGCTATGGTCCAGAGACTTTATTCAAATAATATTTTTGTTTTAAGTGTGGAGTAAAATAAACACAGGCAAGACATCCATTCAAACCACAATAATCTTTTTATATTGTTGTTACGAACAAAGACAGTATAATAATTTTTTTCTTCAAGTGGGTTAATAATTGTGGAAAATAGAGTTCATAATATTTTAAATTTATTGTAAGCATCCAAGAAATCTATTAAGATAAAGAAAAAAGTGGTTTGTTTTGTGGTTTGGGAATAGTTTGGTCAACCTAAACTGTATTTTAGCTGGATTTATCTTGAGATATAGGAGCCAACTAAAAAGATTGCATTGTGGATTCTATAACTAGCAGTTCAAAAATTCTCACCTTTTTTTGTTCCTTGTTCAGTGTTTCTAACCTAGTTTGTATTCTGAAGGTTTTAAAGTACAACTGTAGCTCAATACAGTTTTTTTTCTGGTAAACTTTGTTAATAGTATACATTGAAATGTACAAAATCTTGTGTTCAATTCAATTATTGGCACATGTAACAAATGTTTACAAATAAAATGTGTTGTAGGTCAAAACATGGTAAACTGCTTTTCCCTTCAGGTGTGTTTCTTCTGTATATGACAGTAAAATGTGTCACCTACAGACTGAAGCACCAGAAACCAATTATAGTAATCTTTGCAATATATTATCATGGTATCTTCAACCCTTGTAGTGGCACAATCTTCAGACATTTAGTTTTATCAGAAAATAAGTTCAGTCATTAAAGTATCTTTCCTTCTAAACCTTCTTCTCTGTTGGTTTTCAGGGTAATGATCATAGAGCACAATAATTGCACCCTGTAGCTCTGTCCAGCCATGATTCTTCCACTTAAGAGCAATATACTTCTTGACACCCAGCTTTGGTTCCATATCCTCAATTAATTTATCCTCAGAGAAGACACTAACCAAGTACCATTGAGTTTTCAAATTGGGAGTTTGATCAGCAAAGGTCTTAAACTACATAAAAAAAAAAGTGTCCTGTGGCATCTAAAAGACTAACACATTTAATTAGGACATAAGATGTGGACTGCAGCTCATTTCATCAGATGCCACAGGACTTGTTTTTGCTGAAACATGCTAACACTGCTACTTCTCTGAAGGTAGTTTTGTTTCCAGCAGACTCGGGACCTAAGCAAAGCACTTTAAAACATGCTTCACTCCCACTGACTTCAGTTCAGACTTAAAAGTTAACAGGGTAATACCAAGTACACTTAGAGCCAGCTTTGAAGAGTATAGAAAATGACAAAATTATTACACAACTTTAGTATTCAGATGTGAACTTTTTTCTCTTTGCGTGTCGATTCAAGCCAATCAGGTAACTATCACGTTATAGAATCTCAGGACTCTGGTACTTGAATCCAGAACCCATGAAGCTCAGGCTAGTGGCTGACTTAAAGAAAGTTAATTTGTGTTTTTGAGTATAAGAAAGCTTTTGAACTTTTGTTTATAGAAGAAGAGAAATGAGATTCCTCCTGCATTAAGCATCCTCTTTGATCATTTCTGAACTCTGGCTTATAGCATAATGGCAATTATAAAGAAACAAGTGGGGGGGGGGAGGGAGGAATGAAGAGAACCATTAGTGCTAGATATGCTCAAATTAAATCTCTTCACTTTACCACAAAGAAAACACTAAATCAGTTTGCATATATACTATGTAGTGCATATGTCAAGCATCTACCTATTTGATCTTGGACATCCAGCAGGCTTGCTCATTTAATCCCATAGAACCAGAGGGTTTCAAACTTCAGTGCATTGTGACTTTCTTCTGATGATAAATATTACACAACCCTGGGAGTGCGTAGGGGACGGGCCATGTGCTTCAGCCTCAAGCGGTAAAGGAGCCTAACCCCATTGTCTGGGGCCAGAGCTTGAGCCCCCCACTTTCTAGGGCTGAAGCCTGTGGGCTTTGGCTTTAATATTCTCATTCAACAACAAACAATTAGAGATTTCTTTTCTGCAAAGATCCTGCATGTATCATATTCTTATTTTTTAAAATCCTTGGTTTGGAATCCTACTCATTTGAGTAATTTGTATAAATTACTTTAATAAACAGCATGCCTTGATTACTGAATAATTTATCAAATCTATTTGAGGAGTAAAGCATTGTGGAATATAATTTAATGGGTTATACAATTGGATGAATAACACATTTTTGTCATTTTATTTCAATTGACATTCATCAAATACAGCTGATCTAATACTATGTAGCTGAACAATGTATTAGTTAATATTACCTGTACAGCTAGACAAATAACTGTTTTTTATTTCTTGGCAGTGAAAAAATGCAATTTGTGTTTTGTTTTGTTTAATTTTTGATGAATTGAAAGTCATTTGTTGTTTATCCAGATCATGATTTCAAAACCTAGGTCTCATATATTTCAGGTGAAGGTCCTAATCAATAGGATAAAGATTATAAAGGGTGGGTATAGGGACAGCAGAGTAGCATTGCTGCCTCCTATGGCCATTTTGTGAATGGCCAAAAGTATTTCTTTCAAACTCACAACTTTTTAGGCTTAGCAAAACTACATATTTGGGGTAAATAAACTAGTTGAAATACTTTGCCCAGTTCTAATGATCATTCAGTGCACTCTGATGTCTGTTGGCGTAGATGGCAGGGATGAAAGCAACAAAGGATGTGACAGAGCTAATGACAGCAGTGATAAGGGAGCTCATGAAACCAGAGACTGACAAGAACAAGGAGGGAGTCCAGGATTGAAGTGACCTGGGTGTTACCCTGGGACGCAGTAATGATTAATTTTGAAACCTAATTTGGACGCGCTCTAACTTGAGATGATGTTAAATGTCCCAAGTCCCAGAAGAGAGCTCGCCTGAGGCTGATTACTCGAGGCCGTATCTATCACCGACACGGCTTTTCCCGGAAATAAGACACACGAGACTTAATTTGGGGCCCAACCATATATTGTAAAATTTGAAATACAGAACAGCAGGTAATAACTTCCTAAACAGTTCCCTCCCTATCCCTGAAAATTAAGAAGATAGAAAAGATCCCTAGATACACAAGGTATATACTTTACAATCACGTGGTGTAGACAGATGAGGAGCTCACGACCTCAATACCGCAGCTAATTGCAAGCCTTGGCAGAGGAACTGTGAGGAGTCCCACGATGATGACACTGGACCAAGCCCTCTGGATTATGGTAGGCAGGCTGTAGATTATCTGTCGAAGGCCTTGCGCTCTCCGAATGTAATCTGTGGGAAACCAATTGGTCTTCAGACCCAGGAATACTCCACAGGTCACCAAAACCCCCAAAATACCCACCACTCTCACACTAACACATGACTGTCTACACTCATACTCTTTCACTCTCTCATACACACTGACAAGGAAAACTTCTACGGAACCAAAAGAAAAATGGATCTGGATCAAAAATCAAGGTAGTCGCTCTCAGATGGAGTGAAGAATCCAGAACCAGAACTCCTGTTTAGCCAGGGTATATAAACTCTCTGAGGCGGGAAAACCTCAAGGGTGCCGGGTGCACAATCTTGCGGGTGGTGTGCATAGATTTTGAGCCGTGTGCAAAGCCATTTGGTGCTGAGTGCAAAGCTGTTTGGGGCTGAGTGCAAAGCATTAGTGCCGTGTGCAGTGGGCAAAAAGGCGGGAAGCTTCTATCTAGTCCCTTTCCTTAGTCCGGACTAATGTAGATAGTCCGAATTAACTACTAGTTCGAATACCTTTAGTTAGAACCAATATCTCAGTTCAATATAGTCAGCACTCATAACAACTCACAAGTTTCTTTCACCCAACCTTATAACTCTCAACTGCAAACTGAGGTAACAAGGGAGTTGAGGATAATGGTAGAAACCAGGGGAGTGGTGGTAACATGGCAATGGAGCCCAGGTTGGAGGCAACAGAACTGATGACATTGGTGGAGGCAGGGAAATGATGGGGACTGGGATGCAGCCAGAAATGCAATTACCAAGAAACTGATGGTGAAGATTAGGACGGCAACAGAGAGGGTATAATGGGGAGCAGAATGGTGATAACGAGTGCATGATGGTGATGGAGCCCAAGTTCATGATGAGGACTTTAGGGAGGCTGAGGACGGAAGGGACAGAACCTAGGATGGCGGTGATGGGGGTAGCAGTGGAAACCAAGATGGAATTGATGAGAGAGGTGAAGAGCCAATATGGGGGATAACAAGGAAGCTGATGACTATGGTGGAACCAAGAATGGCAACTCATGTGATGAGAGAGCCAAGGATGGTGGGTAGAGCCTTGAATGCAAGCGAAAATTATGGAATCAAAGTTGGTGACAGTCCAGGACAGAAGTGACAAGGGAGGTGAATGAGCTGATGATGGTAGTGGTGAAGAGAGCTGTTGATGGGGCTTGCCAATAAAGTCAATATGGCAGTGCAGCAATGGGGCCCAGTATGATGGTAACCAGGAGGCAAATGAAGGATGTGACCAAAGAACTGATGACTGTGGCATAGCCCATATCAGGGATTCAATGGCAGGAGCAGGGCTCAGGATGGAGATGAGGAGGGAACAGAGAGGTGTAACCCAGGACAGCAATGAAGATGGCAGAGCTCTGGCTAGTGTCAAAGAGTGATGGAGGTGTTAAGGGAACGGACAGCAATGGAGCTGACAACAGCGAAGAGGTGAACGATGGAGATGAGGATGGTGATGGAACTGAGTGTGTTAATTATGGAGCTGATGACGGTGGGGGTGTGAGGATGATGAAAATGGTGTCAATGCAGCTTAGGACAATTCGGGAGTCAGGGAATGTTCTGGCAAGCTGGAGGAGAAAGGCAAAAACATCTGTGAAGTGGATTGTAATGGCAAAGACAATAATGGAGCCAGGACACACAGGAAAGTTGTAAAGTGTGAGGCATGAAAGTAGAGACAATGAGGTGCATGTGGCAGGGGGGGGGGGGGAGAAAGGAGACAAAACTGGAGTCAGGCAATAAGAAGGTGGAAACCTGCATTTGTCATAGTAGGGAGTTGTGGATGCGCTTTTCCCCTGTGAGACAAGGGGTGCACTTGCATTGTGAGGGGAAGCTGGAAGTTGAAAGTGACCAGTTTAATTTGGTGAGTGATGAGAAAGGGACTGAGGTAGTTTAGTTTGTGAGAGGGATGTGAAGTGTTGTGTAAACAGCCATACCTTGTCCCCAATGGCAATGAGATTAGCCTGCTGGCAGCAGTCCCCAAATCATTTAGCCTTAGATGCATCCAGATGGCTAGCTTTCTGGAGAAGGGATGCTATCTCCAAGGCTGCAGCACTCAGGTGCTTCCTCAAATCCCTGGCATGTACTATGGGAATTGGAGACAAGCTCTGCTTTGTAAGCAGTCCTGGTGACAGGAGTGGTGGTACCCAGGGTCAAAGCCAGATGCAGAATCAGGACTGTCCTTAGGGCAAGGCTGAAACCAGAGTCTACGAACAGGCTGTGAATCAGAATTGGAATCAAAGTCCACAGACAAGCCAGATCAGGATGGTAGTCAGAGTCCAGATGCAGGCCAAAAGTCATAAATCACAGAACTGGAAGGGACCTCGGAGGTTATGAAGTCCAGTTCCCTGCTCTCACAGCAGGACCAATCACTATCTAGATCCATTCCTGATAGATGTCTGTCTAAACTGCTCTTAAATATCTCCAGTGATGGGGAATCTACAACCTTCCTAGGCAATTTATTCCAGTGCTTACCCACCCTGAGAGTTAGGAAGATTTTCCTAATGTCCAACCTAAACCTCCTTTGCTGCAATTTAAGCCCTATGCTGCTTCTATCATCAGAGGCCAAGGAGAACAATTTTTTTCCCTCTTCCTTGTTAACACCCTTTTAGAAACCTGAAAACCGCTATCATGTCCCCTCTGTCTTTTCTTTTTTAAACTAAACAAGCCCAAGTCAATACTGCGCTGGAGGCAGGTGCAGTCTGGAGCAGGTCAGGAACAGGGCTGAAGTTGCACTGACTGAGGCTCTATGGGTCCCCCTCCAATATAAAGACCTCCTTATCCCAGTCCAAGAGAAGTTATTGGACCCAGGTCTCAAGAAATGTCAGGGGACAACAAAAGAAAAAAGGATAGGAGTGAGGGTCACAGGGTCAAATGCTGGAATCCAGAAGAGAGAACCTTGGACCATGTCTCCTGCTCCTTGAAGGTGTCCTGGATGCTAGCTGATATGACCCAGAGGAATTCTGCCTGGAGATGTGACTTCAAGGAAGAGTTGAAATAGGCCTCATAGTCGCAAAGCACATCCCAATTCAGCTTCCTCCTCCTGGTATGGAGGATGGTTACCCTGGCCAATCTCAGGAGGTTGGTGAGGTCTTGCAACTGTATGGACTCATGAATGATGTGTGCATATGTCAAGAGGTTCATAGAAAAGTCTAGCCAGAATCTGAGGTGGTGGTTTTGGAGGGGCTAGAAAAGGGGCTGGGACCTTGTGTGGTTGGGGTAGATGTACACCAGGGTTTCCCTTTGCCACAAAGGGGGCAGGCATTGGGGGGAAGGGTGACCCATATGAGTTGTGTGCCCACAGTCCATGAAGGAGTTGCCAATTAATAGCCCCAGCAAGTTGTGAAACTAGGGTGGAAACAGACTAGCCCACCAAGTCTCCTCACCTTCCATGGATCATGGAGGTCCCCCCACTTGGTGTTGGGATGGGAGACAAAGGTGAGGAATTGAAGGGAGTGGCACATGAGCATATGCAGCTATTTCCTAGGAACAGTCTAGAGGTGGGCTGGCAGCAAGCAAGTCCTGCAGCCTGCTCATGTGGTGTGGAGTGAGTGGCTGAGGAGGCTTGCAGGGCATGGGTCCAATGAAGTCCAAAAAGTCTGGGGTGAGGGGTATGCAGGGAAAGGCACTGGAGTAGTCCCATTCCCTTCTGCAGCCTTCCAGCCACTCTTCCCCCAGGTTATGCCAGTTCTCAGATGGGAAGGGATAGGTGGTGGCCTGCTGGCTCTATCTGGGTGTCTCTTTCTGTCACCTATCCCTAAGAGCTCAGTTGTTAAACCAATCAGGAGGGATGTAGAAGAGATGCTGGTTTAAGTTCCTGTTCTGCCTTACTGGGTATCTGAACCATGACTGCAGCCTTCCAGCCACTCTTCCCCCAGGTTATGCCAGTTCTCAGATGGGAAGGGATAGGTGGTGGCCTGCTGGCTCTATCTGGGTGTCTCTTTCTGTCACCTATCCCTAAGAGCTCAGTTGTTAAACCAATCAGGAGGGATGTAGAAGAGATGCTGGTTTAAGTTCCTGTTCTGCCTTACTGGGTATCTGAACCATGACACAGTCTCGAGCAGGAGAAAGAGAGAGACCCCTGCCTCAGAATATCAATATCTTCTTGGTGGTTAGGGCCTCACTTTGGGTGTAGAAGATACAGCTTCAAGTCCCTGACTTGATGCAGGCAGAGCTGGGTTTCTCTTATCACTGTTGAGTTTCTTAACCATTAAGAACATGGACAGTCTGGGGCCTTAGTTTCATTCTCTCTCTCTGACCAGAAATTCTATTCTGCATCCGAGAAACCTTCCTAAAGAAGGCATAGTCAAAATAGACCCTTTTCTATTTAAAGTTTCAGTTCTGATGAATCAGCTTTTGCTGAATGGAAAGAAATATATAGTTGAAAAATTCCCAACCAGCTGTTTTTATCACCAAGCCAAATAAAAAACAGAGCCAAACCTCATTCGAGGCTCTCTTCACAAGCCTGGCTGTTTCTAAAAAAAACCTATTGGCTAGTAGAGTTAAAGACAACAAGGAAGAGTTATAGAAACAAAAAGAATCCTGACAAAGGTTAGTTCGTTACAAGATGGAAATGGTAGAATTAACAATAATGCAGAAAAGCCAGAAGTGGTCAATAGATTTTTTTCTGGGGGGGGGGGGGGGGGGGGGATCAAATTTAGTGAAAAATAGCTTGGAAGAAGATGCATAATTGTGATTAGCAGAAAATTTGACACATTCTTTTTTGAGGTGGCATTGTCTAGATTGTTTCCATAGCAATGGAAAAGACATTCTTAAGGAGGAATTTACCCTTTTTATTCACTGATATGCAGATTACAGGCCTGATCTCTTTAAAGTCTTGAGCATTCTCAATTGTAAAAGATATCCACGGGAGTTGTGGGGTACTCCACACATCTGAAAATCAGGCCTTGCATTTCTGACTCCAGTCTTTCAAGTTAACTGTACTTACTTGGTTCAGTTGTGGGATTTTAGGGGGGGCCTTAGAAAGTGAAAATGGAAATCAAAGGCACTTATGTTGCACAGCACAGACACTTCTTGGAGACAGGGCTACTTGTCTTTCAGCTCAGCTCTGAGATACAATTTAATGATGACAAGCACTAGATTTGAAGTTGTTATAATTTTTATAATAATCATGGTTGACCTGATCTTAAAATAAACCTAGCATAATCAAAACTATAGTAAATGACTTACAGAGATTTAAAAAAGAAAAAAAAGTGTTAATCCATTCTAATAATGCTTGTTTTGGATTGTAGGACAGAAAATTGACAAAAATAGAAAGACAAAGATTTAAGGAGGAAGCAGAAATGTTGAAAGGTCTTCAGCATCCAAATATTGTTAGATTTTACGACTTTTGGGAATCCTGTGTAAAAGGAAAAAAATGTATTGTATTGGTTACTGAATTGATGACCTCTGGAACGCTAAAAACGTGAGTACTATACTCCTGGTGACATATCTAAGAATAGTTGCCAACATTCTTGGGGAAACACAGCTATAGGTAGTTAGAAGAAAAGGCATTTGAAGACCAAAAGCTGATTGGTTCTCTCCCGTGTGCCCAGCTGCCCGGCATGTGGCCCTATGCTGTCACTTACTGGGCTGGGCTGGGTGGCCGGGTGCTCCAGGCCCCTCTGGAAGGGGAAATGGAAGAGCAGCTTGTTGCTGCAGCTGCTTAAGCTCACCCAGATCACGCTGATGTGGCTGGTGCTCTCGCCCTCTGCGGGGCATGTGGAGGCAACACTGCCGCCACCACCACTCTCCCGTGCCTCACAGCTTCCCATGCAAGCGGCAGCCACGAGTCCTAGAAACACCCCAGCTTAGTGGCCTAAGGGGACCCCTAAAGAAGCAAAGACTGGCGGACTTCCGGTTCCATGCATATGCTCTGCGGCTGACTAGTGCTGCTCCTCCGGCCTATGCTGTGGTTGGGTGGCACCTTCCCTGGGGCACCCACCCACTGTGCCACTCACCGTGCTGTTGCGTGGGGAAGTGGGTGGGTGGAAAAAATTTTGTGTGCAGGTGCATGCTTCTCCAGCAGGTTGGGCTCAAGTAACAGCTGGGGGCATGACCTGGCAGTGTGCCAAGCCCTGGCAAGCAGCGGTTCGCGGTCTGCCACCAGTCTGCAGACCAGTGGTTGGGAACCACTGTGCTAGAGAGCTTGACAAATAGATGGTTAAGGGATGTCTAGGTTGCAGTCTGTAAATACCGTGACAGGGAACAAATATTTAATAATGGGCTCTTCAATCTAGCAAAGATAGGCATAGCATGATCCAATGGCTGGAAGTTCAAGCTAGACAAATTCAGCTGGGAAATATGGTGAAAATTTTTAACGGGGAGTGTAATTAAACATTGGAACAGTTTCTAAAGGTTGCGGTAGGTTGTCCCTCCGAATTCAGATAGAATGCTTTTCTAAAATGCTCTAGGAATTATTTGGGAGGTGCTGTGGCCTGTGCTGTATAGTGCTACGTCTAGACTACGGGGTTTTTGCGGGATTCCAGAGGTATTCCGCAAAACCCCCGCTGCATCCAAGGAACATGATTGCTCTTCTGCTTTTTTTTTTTGCGGAAGAGCAAATGCGGTCTTTTGGGGAGCCCTGTATGCCTCGTTTCACAAGGCACAAGGGCTCTGACGAAAGAGGAGGCTTTTCTGCCATTTGGCCCTGACTAGACAGAACCAGAAAAGCCTCTTCTGGGGGGGAAGAAAAAGTGGAAAAAGCTACGCAAAATGCAGAGCACATTTCGTGTAGCTTTTTCCACAAAAATGCCGCAGTCTAGACCTAGACTAGGAGGTCAGACTAGATGGTCAGAACAATACCCAGGGCCATCCCTAGGAAGTGTGGGGTCCAGGATGAACCTCCCCCTCCCCAAACACCCTTTCTCCAAGCCCTGCCTCTTCCCACCCCTGTGGAAGGTGGTTCCATCTCTTCCCCCAAGCTCCCTCCCCTGAGTGATATGACTGGGAGCCAGCAGAGAGAAGTGGGCTGGGGCCAGGTTGCTCTGCTTTGAGCTGCTGCCGGTGAGTGTGGGGGAAGGCTCAACCCCTGCTGCTGATGTCAGGCCTCCCAGTAGTCACCCAGACTGCCGTGGACCCTGCAGCCCCCTCCTCCCTGCCTACCATAGGACCCAGGGGGTTGCCCTGAACCGTCCTATGGGTGGTATGGCTCTGACAATACCTTCTGGCTTTGGAACTGATGAATCTCTAAGATCAGGGCCATGAAGAAAGGCTGCCACCAGGATCTGCAGAACAGACATTGTAGCTAGAAGGGGCACACAAAGGAGGTGGAAACAGCTCCAGCTCTGCAGGGGAAGGAAGCAGGAGTTTTCCCAGGTGGCACATTGCTTGTAACAGTATTAGTTTTATCCATGGATTCTATATGACTTGGGACAATAGACGAAGAAGTAAGTCACTGGTGAAGCGATCAGACTAGCTGTGTCTGAATTATATTTTTCAGGGTTCAGGGCTTGATAGGATTGTCTGAATGATACATTCTTTAGAGCTCGGCTTCTGTTGTGGGTTGCCTGTCGCATTCTTTGGCACTGATCATTGTGGCTAGAAGTCTACTTGGATTATCTCTGAATACTTAATCATTTTGATTTGCCGCAGATCCATCCCATCTGGGCAGGCCTCCGTTGCCCTATCACTTGGTATTCATTTATAAAGTGACACAGAAAATTATCATTAGCTTGACTTCTTTATAAGCAGCTTCTTGATGGCTCCTTTTTTTAGAAATTCTAATAATTCTTTGCTCTTGCTGTTTGCTGGAGAAATGCTTCTTTTGCATTCTTCCCAGATAGCTGCTTGTAGGATTTCTTTGAATGTATCATTCAAGGGGATGGAATGGAGGGTTTTGTTTGTGAATCTAAAGATGGTTTCCCCCCATGCAACCATTATTAAGCAGATGGCATGATCTAAAATTAAAGCGCTGTCTGTTTGCCTTCAGGCTAGCATGTACCAGCAAAACACAGCACCAAATTGGTTTTGCACTATAACATGTGAAGTGCTGCAAAATATAATTATATTCCCTCTGGATAGGATAGTCTGCAAATGTCTTTGGGGTTGAGTTTTATGCATTAAAATTGAGGAGAATTTATTAAGCAGATGGCATGATCTAAAATTAAAGCGCTGTCTGTTTGCCTTCAGGCTAGCATGTACCAGCAAAACACAGCACCAAATTGGTTTTGCACTATAACATGTGAAGTGCTGCAAAATATAATTATATTCCCTCTGGATAGGATAGTCTGCAAATGTCTTTGGGGTTGAGTTTTATGCATTAAAATTGAGGAGAATTCCATCTAAATTTTGAGCTTGGTCATGAATGGTCATGCTTACCTTAAATTGATTGGTCATTTCAGTGACATTTTAGATTAGACTCCTCAAAGATGTTTTGGCTTTTCTTTGAATCCAAAGCAACATGTACTCAGGAATTACTAGACAACGAAGGCATATCTACAAGTAAGGAAAGATGCAAAAATTAGCCTCCACGTGGTCAATATTTGTGTTACTTTAGTTTCTTCATTTCTTGAACTTAATAAACTTATTTTGTAAAATATCAATCTTCCATGTTAGTTGGAACCAGTTAAGGACATATCCAAAAAGATTGTATCTCTTCTCTCAAACTCTTTCCATTTCACATCTGTAAAATAATTACCTCTCCGTTGTTGGGATTTCTCTAAAGACCTTCACTTATTGGTTTACAAGAACTTGGCTTGATTCTAGACTTGTCACTCAGGTTCTTTACTGGCATACTCTAAGGCTATGTTTACACAGTGTACTTAACAATTACACAGCTGTGCCACAGCAAAGTCTCCTATGTAGGTGCCCTTTTCCAGCAGGAGAGAGTGCTCCTGTCAGCAAAATAAAACCACCCCCAATGAACAGCAGTAGCTTAGTTTGCAGGAGAGGGTCTCCCACCAACAGCACCTGTGTGCACGGCACTTTTTTCATCCATAAAACTTTTGGTTACGGGGTATGTTTTTTTTCCACACTCTGACCAACAGATGTTTTACAGTCAAGAATGCAGTGTAGACATAGCCTAAGACTGATTAGACTCATGTATAGGGGGTAGGTATAGGGCATACTAAAATCCAAAGGAGACGAGTATTAGGCTATGTGTACACTAGCACTTAATACAGTATAACTTACGTTGCTCAGGGGTGTGAAAAAGCCACCCCCAGGAGATATAAGTTACACCAACTTAAAAACTGCACAGCTCTATGTCTGCAGGAGAGCTTCTACTGCCGATTTAGCTACTGTGCTTGTGGCGTAGTTATGTTGATGTTGTCTTAGAGCAGCTACATTAGTGTGCTTGCAGTGGTGAGCTGCACTGCTGCAAGAGTTGTCTACTGGCTTGCAAATCCGACGACATAGCCAGTAACATTTAGCAACTCAGTCTAGTTTATGAAAAGGCAGTTTGATAACTGTGTACCTTGGTCACGGGTTATGCTTTTAAAAGGACTCCTGCTTTTCTGTATGCTGTATCCATGGAAACACATTGTTGGGTTGGGTTTAGTGTTGGAAAGTAGAGGAGGAAATACACACATTGAAATATGTATCTTGTTAGACGTCATGAAAAAAATATGGACTTAGTAAGTGGGATTTTAAAAATTATTTCTAATATATTCCCATTTGCTTGCACTAAAATACCCATACCAGGTTTTCTATAAATATTTAGAATGTCAGTTTAGCAAGAGATAAATAAAATAATTCTTGGTGTATATCTAAAAAAATTGCTAAGATAAAAATACCTAATTTTGACATTGCTGATCACTATGCTTTGTGCTTAATACTGGGGAAATGTTTGATGTACACAATGTGTTGCTTTACATAACATATTTTGGCTCCCTGAAGATGGAAATGTATAAGCTGAAGGCAGTCTCTTAGAATGGAGAAGTTACATACTGAAACTTGCTCCTTGGAACTATTTTGTGGTGATATAGCAATTCCATAAAAGGTTTTTTAAATAAAAATGAAATAACTACCTGATTAAACAAAAGTTGCATTTACCTTTCATTTTGCTGTATTTTTCACGTACATGAAATACTTAGAATCATAGACTGCTAGGGCTGGAAGGGACCGTGAGAGGTCATCAAGTCCAGTCCTCTGCCCTCATGGCAGGACCAAGAACCACCATCTAGATCATCCCTGATAGATGTTTATCTAACTTGCTCTTAAATATCTCCAATGATGGGGATTCCACAACCTTCCTTGTGCAACCTACAATTTATTTAAGGACTTAACCATCCTGACAATTAGGAAGTTTTTCCTAATGTCCAATCTAAACCTCCCTGGCTGAAATTTAAGCCCATTGCTTCTTGTCCTAGCATCAGACATTAAGACATTTTCTCCCTCTTTCTTGTCACACCCTGTTAGGTACTTGAAAGCTGCTATCATGTCCCCTCTCAGTCTTCTCTTTTCTGAACTAAACAAACCCAATTCTTTTAATCTTCCTTCATAGGTCATGTTCTCTAGACCTTTAATCATTTTTTTTTTGCTCTCCTCTGGACCCTCTACAATTTCTCCACAACTTTCCTGAAATGTGGCACCCAGAACTAGACACAATACTCCAGCTGAGGCCTAATCAGAGTAGAGTAGAGCAGAAGAATTACTTTCCGTGTCTTACAATGCTCCTCCTAATGCATCCCAGAATATTTGCATTTTTATATTTTGCAACAGTCTCACACATCTTATGTCTCTTATGTCTAGAATAGTGTGTCCACAGGGCAGAGTTATAGCCACTTAGATATAGTGAAATCAATTTTCCACTCAGTAGCTATGCCAGTCAATTTCTGCATGTAAACAGGTCCTTATTGCTTCTTACAGTATCTCATCTGTTTAAAATTTGCTTTGAGCTAAAATGTAGCCTACAGAATCTAAATAAAGTTAAATAACACACAGTTCTTTCTAAGTGAGTAAATTTATTATATGGTAAAAGCATTACAGAGAAAACATATCAATACCATAAGAGAACCTGCACGCAGGCTAATAAGCTTACCAATGATCACTCCAACTCCAGCAATGACTCTAGCGTTTCGAAAAAGCCTCTTTCGAAAAAAAGCATCTAGACTACAACCAGTACTTTCAAAAAAGTAAGCTGCACAGTTTGCATTATATAGCGTTTTTTTTCGAAAGAGCACTTTCGAAAAAAGGCGTTCTTCCTCGTAAAACGAGGTTTTCCGCGATCGAAAAAACGGCAGCGTTCTTTCGATTTACTTTAGAAAGAATGGGGCAGCAGTTTAGATGCAGGGGAAGTGTGGTGGGGGTTTTTTTTTTTGTTTTTTTTTAAAAAGCCACTTTTTTGAAAAAACTCTGTAGTCTAGACATACCTTTCGGTACTACAAGACTAAGAACTCTTTCTGCTGTGAAATAATGAATGGAGGTTTTTCATGTTGTCACCAGCTTAAAGCATTTTGTTTTAATATACAAATGCATTGTATAGATATCATCAAGGAAGAAAATACCAAGATCTGATAATCTGAACTTTAATTCTCAAACCTAATCTGTGCTTCTACCTCTTTATTTGGATAGCAGCGTTACCTGAGAGTAGCAAGATTGAGTTCAGAAAGATAATTTCTTTTGTGCTTTTAATGAAGTTTATTCAGCTGTTACCTTCAATCCTTCCATGTGTGCTAAAATCTACAAAATGTCAGAAGTCAGGAATATTTTAAAAGATGAGAAAATAAATCCCCCCTGAGTCTATTGCTCCAATTATAGCTGTGGCAAAAGTTGAGCTTTATCAGCTAACAATTTCTCATTTGAATCACTGAAGTAGAGGTTGGCACCACAGAGAATATATTTCCTATGCATATTTGTGTTTCATCCTAGTAACAATCTTAAGTTTTATCATGCCAGATTCATTGTAATAGCACTGATCTCTCTTCATTCCAATGACGTTGCCATGGGCGTCACTTTGTGCTGATGTGGGACTTCAGTGTGTAACAGCTTCTAGAATGCATGATTCTGCATAAAGCTATAGCACTGGGGAGAATGAATTCAGATAGAGAAGGATGCAATTTCTGAGTAATGGAAATAATGTTTTAATCAAGTACAATTAAATTAGAGATATTTTTGATCCTTGGAACATCAGACATTAAAAATTAAGCTTCAATCTTTGAAAGTCGCAGGCTTGCACTGGGCATCATGCAGTCTCATTGCATCCTGGTCATCCCCATGGAGATATCAGGGCAGTAGCCTGCATCCTTTTGTTCTCCTGAACAAGAAAATTAGGGTCCCTAACACTATTGCTTGCTGGCACTGAGCTTATTTTACCAACCTCGCCTCTGCAAGTTTAGGAAGAACCAAAAGAAACTAACTCTCTTGAGAGCACATCTTTGACATGACTTTCTTAAATGAGCAATTTTCGTCAGTCCTCTGTTGAGCTTAACATACATTGTAACTAAGGGTATGTCTACACTTGCAGACTATTTCGGAATAGGGCTGCAAATGTAGGCATTCGGAATTGCAAATGAAGCCCTGGATTTAAATATCCCGCACTTGATTTGCATCTTTCCAGCCAGGCGCCATTTTTTAAATTTACAAGCCCGGAATAACTGCCCATGGCTACACGCAACAGTGAAACAGGCATTTGAAATAAAGCCCTATTTTGAACTACCTGTTAAACCTCATTACAGGAGGAATAACAGGTAGTTCAAAATAGGCCTTTATTTCGAACGCCAGTTTCACTGCTGCGTGTAGATGCGGGCAGTTATTCCGGCTTGTAAATTCCAAAAAATTGCGCCTGGCCGGAAAGATACAAATCAAGTGTGGGATATTTAAATCCCGGGCTTGATTTGCAATTCCAAATGCCTACATTTGTAGCCTTATTCTGAAATAGGCTGCAAGTGTAGACATACCCTAAGAGCAGTCGGGCCAAGGGAAAAGGAGAAAGCAGAGGAGTATGTCTAGTCAGCTAGATGCCAGTGGAGAGGAGGGAGGGGGCTTATGTCCAACTGGCTACATCCTCAAGTCTGCGTTAGCATTTTTATTCCATTGATGAGACTGAGGGTCAGAATTTTAAATAGCCTCACAGTTGGTGGGGAAAGTGAATGTGTGTGTGTTTCTATACACAGCTATACTTACCTAGATATAGATATATTTATCAACTCAGGTTGACTTCCGCATGATTAGTAGATTAATATCTTAATAAGCTCAACATCATCTGATAAAATATATGGGCTCCCTCCTATTCATTGAGTATTACCAATACTGTTTACGGATTCCGTGTGTTTATCTTTTAAATTAACAATAGGCACACATTTCCATCTGTTACCCCAAATGTAGAGCGCTTATTCCAGACCCCAGATCATGCTGGCCTGAGGTGCAGGGTAGGCAATATTCTTATTACAACCCCTCAAGGCTAGAACCTGGAGATTCAGCCCATTGGAAAGCGGATATCACTTACTTTCCTTTGGGATACACGTCAGACATTTTATGTCTGTGAGAGAGAGAGG